TCAGTTATTAAATTTGTTTTTTGTTACTGAATTAAGGTATATTTTGAGTTAATTACAGTAGTATATCCAGTTTTTTGCAGTAACTAGTGAATTTCTAATTTCTCAAGATGTTTTAACTTGGATAACCCATATGCTGATTTTAATAATTTGGCTTCTTCTAAAAAAACTTCTATATCCTATATCATTTTACATGATAAAAGCTGCCTTGGCAGTTACAGGTTACTTTATGTTGATGGCATGTTCTTTAAGTCTTGCTGAAGGATTATTCAGTTGCTCCAATGTATTTCTGCTCTTTATTGAATCTGTTGTCTTTAATGGGGGGAATGTATATTCTTGGGATATACTTCCTATTAGGAAGGCCCTTCACATTATTGAGGAAGGTGTATATGGTTGGATTCCTCATGAAACCTATTTTAACATGATTGGCTGTATATATATATATATATTCAGCTTTATATATTGGCTGTTATATATATATTCTTCAATGCATGACTATATCTAACTACTTTAATAAAAAAAAATATGTAAAAAGACTGGACATGGACAAAAGTGAAGACATTTTTAATCATCAGGAACAGTCTATTTTTACAAAAGTATCTAACTACTGTTTTTTGATGTCCCTGCCATCATCTGATTATTTGTAGAGGGTTGAAAACATTAAGCTTTTTGGTCAGGCTCTTATTTTTGCATCATATGTTATGTTTATTTTGTAATGGTGTATAATTTTGTATTTTTAAATTTTTATGTTCCATGCTAGTGCACAAAGAGCAATTTGAAAACCTGATCAATCTCTAGATTTATAACATTCCATCTGTCATATTACCTGAAGAAGACAGTTATATACTATTGAAATTGCTTGTCCTCGTTGATTAAATGTATTTATCAGTAATGCCAATAGACAGATTTTATGTTTTTCCTTTATTTTTAGCAAGTGCTGTAAGGAACTGAGTCCGAGCATTATTATTATTTAATTTTTATTTTGCTTTTTATTCTATTTTGTTTGGGGTTTATGTTTAGTTAGGACGAAGGTTCCCTCACCACTCACCTTAGTAACGAAAAAGAAACAAAGGAAAAAACCAACTCCCTGACTAGACAAAGTGCCGTAGGGTAACTAATGCGTACTTGCGCTTCCAGGCAGAAGTTTGAAAGAAGTTCTGCAGAAAGAAGGGGACACCCCACACGCACAAAGTAGAGAACTCGCTAAACCTTGATAAAATAAACATCCTGAATATGAAATAAAAAAGAATAATGTAAAAAGATTTTTAGCGAGAAATGTCAGAAACCAGGCTGCCCAGAAAGACATGCAAATTTATTGTTAGAAGTTAAGTATGTAAATGAGGGGAGTGAGTCCAGACATAATTGTGACGTAACCTCAGAGTATGAAACAAGCACGACCAGAGAAGACAAGTGAGGTGAGCCTCAGCCAGGGAGATAGTGAGATGAATTCCAGAGCGAGATTGGAAGCAAGGTTTAGGATAGTGAAAGGAGTAACTTGAAGGAAGTTGGATAAAAGGAAAAAGGTTCCTAGTATTGAGGTGACAGACAGGATTGTAGTTTCTAAGATTCATTGTACATAGCTCTAATTGTTTGATATTGTCAAGTTCCAAGGGGAAATAGTTCTAAGTAAGTAAGTTGTATTATTTTTATCGGGTTTTGTTACTTGTTTCTTTTCATTGAATAAATTGTTTTGATTCTTTACTAATTTGTACATAGTGAATAATTGAGTTAACATTAAATATTTGAGTTCCTTACTGACCTTATACATAGTTATTTCCAGTACACATGTAAGCCCAGCCCTGACATACTAACCGTTAACCTGCGTAAAGTACCCGTTAGATTAATGGTTGTAAAGTTCGGCGATATTCCCGAATGCCTTACTGACACACAGTTCTGTGTCATATAAAAATCAAATAGTACTTTACAGTGTCATCCCTTGTTTTTATCTCTCTACTTTTATGGAAATTGCAAAGAAATGTTTCTTTCTGTTATTGAAATCTAAAGAATGGCAATGCACACAACAGGCACAACTATTGTTTCACTTGGAAGCAATTCCATGCCTTCATCTCACTAAAATATGAATTTTTTTCATGGTATGTTTGTCCTTTGCTGTCTCATGTAGAAAGAAAGCTCTTGGCAAGGCTTATCAGAGGAAAACAATTGCTGGTTTTGAACAAAATGTATACCTTGCACATCTAGCCTTTGTTAGAAGGTACTCAGTTCACAAACAACTCAATAAAATTCATTTTTATCTCTGACAAAGTTATCTTCCAAACAAAAATGAAGTTAGATAAAAAGTTAGAGTGCAGAGCTTTGGTTAATGTCCTCTATTAATTTTACTTTAATTAATATATAATTAATTTCTACACTGAACAGTTTATCGTTTTGCTTTATTTTTTAAAATTAAAACTAAACACGGCACAGATACAGAGGGACTAATGTTTTAATACACGTAATTACTTTTAGCCTTTTATTGCAATAAAGTAAATTTTAAGGATTAAAGTTTATAGCCTATTAACATGGCAATTAATACATGACTTGATAATTGTAAACAAGACTGACTACTAAATTTCTAAACAGAAGCTTTAAATAATTATCTGAGATTTATAATAAAGAAAGGGAGGATTTACTGAAAATTTATGAAGTTTTAAGATAGAAGTATATGATAATATCAATATGCAGATTTATGCACAGAAAACAAAATAGGAGTGAAAGAAAGAAAAGATTTGCATGTAAGTGTCTTTGATGGTTTTTAGAAAAGTCACAATTGCTGATTAATAGCTATGGAATGTAAAGGATTTTTCACCTTTTCTACAGATGATGATTTCAGACAAAGGAAAAACTGTTTGATGAGTTTGCAATTGCAAGTTAAAAATTAACAGATAACCATGCTATTTCACAAATTGCCTCTGCTTTCAAACTGACTTTTAAACTCAGATAAGCTGCAGGTTATCCATATGAAATTACAGTAAGAGAATATAAAAATATTTAATGTATTAAAGAAGCATAGAATGACACTAATTCTAATGACATCTGCAGAATCAGTGTATGGCAAACAAGATAATTTGTTAATTGATAGAAATACTTTCTTAATACTGTTATTTGATTCAAAAAGGTTAAGATGATTCCATTAAGGCAGACAGCAGCAGATGAAACCAGATTATAATCTATTACAGATTGAAAGTTACTGAAAAACAAAATACTAAGATACTGAATATTACATAAAGACATTAGTATCATAGACAATGACTTCTTAATTTGTGCAACCATTTTATTTTGCCTATAATAAAAATAAGTACTGTATTTAAAAATGATATGATAGATTTATGAGTACTATTACTGTATTTTTGCAGAATGACTGGCATGCCAGTCTATCTGAGAGACCATGAAATCAAATATTTCTGTATGGTAAGAATTGTTATGCTGGTTTAAGTGAGATTATAGAACCCTCTCTAGAGAACACATTAAAAAAACAAATGAGTTTTTATTCTAAAACTGTGAAACTGTCAGCATTACATCAAAAACTATGATTATATGTTTAATTTTTTCATGACATAAAAAAAGCACTTTTGGAATTCCAAGAGTATTTTATGTATTTTATTGTTATTTGATTCAAAAATGCAAAAGTAAACATATTAAATTTAAGAAACTTGCTGTAAATTATCTCAGCTTACACCAATTAACATCTGCTTTGTATGAAATTTGAGAGAAAGATATTAGTTTTAAGATCAGTCAGTATAGCCAACACTGACTAACTAATACTATTAATGTCAATAAGTCATTGTTTTATTGTCTTGTAAACAAAAACTCTCATTCTGATTTTATGTCAGTCAAATTACAATGTTGTTATTTTATTGTATTTGGAAAAATGTTTTCTTTAACATTTAATTAACAACTGGTTTTGTTACATCTGATTAATTTTATATTTTAGATGAAGTTTAACTGGCATGCCAGTAAACTCGGGTTTCCGGCATGCTGGTCATTCTGCAAAAATATGATAATAGTTCCTATTAAATACAACATTAATAAATTTATACACTTTCAAATCAGCAATATACAGTATATAATGTGTTAATAAATTTTTTTAAAACTTTAAATTTTAACTCTTGCATCCTGGATAAGTTACTCCTACTGAAACATACTATTATGAAATTAATAAAAATAAGTACAAAACACAAACAACTCTACTAACCCAATGCAAAGCACCAACACACCAACAACTGCCATAAATCACCAGGCGATAATTTGGAATAAATAATTATAAATTAAATATAATAATTAATTTTAATACAAGATGGCCGTAACGTCTCCCTCTAGTGCCAAATTCATTCGTAATTTATAATTACAGTGGTACCTCAGGTTACAAACGCCCCAGCATACGAAATTTTCAGGATACGACATGAAATTCGAACATATTTTTGCTCCACGATACGAACAAAATCTCACCATACGATGTTACATTAGTTCGCATTTTTCATTTGTTTTTCTTACTACAGTTATTTTTTTAATGTATTACTTGGCTTTAATTTGAGTATGTTTTTCGCGTTGGAACGAATTATTTGGTTTCACATGTAATCGTATGGGAAAAGATGATCCACCTTACGACATTTTCATGATACGATCTCAGTTTCGGAACGGATTAATTTCGTATCCTGAGGTACCACTGTATTTATTCCAAATTATGGCCTGGTGATTTACGGCAGTTGTTGGTGTGTTGTTGATAAGTACAAAAGTAAAAACAAAATTATGCATTCCAATAGACAATTAATTGTTAGTCTTAGTGAAACAAAATGAGAAAATAGTAGGCTATTTTATGCTAACCTCTTTGAACTTTAATACTCTAGAACCATGTTTATATATTTTCAATTTGTATAATTTAAAAATGCATAAATTAAGAAGTCATTGTGTATAATATAACATAAAGTAGAAATACTTTATTTTATGTTATATTATACTGAATATAATAAATTTACATAAAAAAGATTCTGATGAGTTGTTATAAAATCAAATAGAGATTTATAAGACATTTATTTCAATTTTTAATTATAATAATGCAGAAAGGACAAAATAAAATAGTTATGTTCAGATTTCAGATGTTTAATACCCATATTGTTTAGCCCTTAAAAGTTTAATTTAAATAATCCCAATTGTTTTAAGAGATTTAGATCCCATGTTAATTACATTACCACTTCTTATGAAATTATCACAAAATGTATCATTAGAGAATTTACCCATTGAGAGACAATTATTCCAACTGTACCTCCTGCAGGTGGCACCACTTGATCTAAAAGTTTTTGACTTGTTCGCTTCCATATCCTTTTTATAACAGCTCTCAATTCTTCATTAGCTTCATCAATATTTCCTATTAAGTATAACATTCATAAATTTATATATATAATAAGTATTTTAAAAATAAAATTAGTTTTTAAACACAAGATATTTATAAAAAGATAAAACTAATGCAATGTTCAAATTTGATTGAAGAATATGGAAAAATTCAGAATTTTTACATCATTAAAATTATATTAAATTAAATTTAGAATAATGTTTCATAGTACAAGGCTTCATTTTTTTTCTGTTATTTATAAGATAGACCAAATATAAATTTGAACAATATTCACATACACTGAACCAATTTACGGTGTGGTACGATCAACTAACAAGTACAAAAAACAAACGTTTTCGAACCCCTTCTGGGCTCTTCATCAGGTTCCTACAGTTTTAGCTCAGCACGCTTTAGCCGCTCATTATATCCGAGCAGGCAAACTTGTCATGCATGCGTGACGTATAAGTTTAAAAGAACTGTTTGAACTCAAGAACGAAGTTATTTGAAAAGCATTCGGTAATCAAATTTATGAGCTAAAACTGTAGGAACCTGATGAAGAGCCCAGAAGGGGTTCGAAAACGTTTTTTTTTTGTACTGGTTAGTTGATTGTACCACACTGTAAATTGGTTCAGTGTATGTGATTGAACAATATTTTTATCAACAAATTAATATACATTTACAAATAGTACATTTTTTAATATTCTGAGAGAAAAATGTATTTTGTTTTATTTACAGCAAAACAATTTAATAAATTTAAAAGGACAATTATTTATGACAAAAATATACAAACAATATGAACAGCTTTGACATTATTATTAAATTTTTGATTATTATTTATTTGTGATATATATTAATAAGTAAAAAATTATATTATTTTATAAAAGCACCTTCTGTCTTAATGCGAAGAGACGTTCTTACTAAAGCAAACAATGTAGCATTAAACATCACGGTTCCATCACTATTTAATGGCATGTTCATAGACACCAGTCTCTAGAAAAGTAATTTTTATTATTCAATTTTATTGAATTAGAAATGCATAAAAATGTATATAACAATGTAATATATGATATTAACAAAATGCAAATAAAACAATTTTAAAAAAATAATTAAAATTTTGGATCAACTTTTATTTTCTTGTAGGAATATAATTTGACATATTCAATTGATCCAAAAGTTAATAATAGATTCATCAACACATTTGAAATCAATTACATTAAAGATTTATTGAAATAATTTAATTTTAAATGCTATAGGTTTTAAAAATACAGTGAAACCTCTCCAGATGACAATTCTTTTAAGCCAACTACTACTTTAGATGATTACAAGATAAATACAAGTCAGCAGTAAATTTAAAAATAAATTATTTTTTATATCCATGGATTACTCAATTTTTTTTTTGTTTTTAACATTTTTACCTATTGAAACTTAATAATTCTTGTATCAATAAATTTCACTTTTCAATACAGCCGGGCAGTTGTAATTTTCAATGTTATTTCCCTGTTTCACGTTTTTTGGACCACCGGTATAGTGCCTACCAGAGTAAAACACCTGTGTGTAGAATGCACACTGTAGGGTATAGGGGTAGTGAAAATATTTAGAGGGAGGCCTCAAAATTGAATTATGCCTGGTGCCTCTCAAGTGCTAAATCTGTCATTGCATGAACGAGTCTTGAATGGCAAAGTCCAAATAAAATCGGACAGTCTAGAGTGATGACAGATAATGAAGACAGAGCAATTGTAACAACAGAGTCATCGCTATCGACCATTCAACTGACAACCATTTAAAGATAACACAATTAACACGTACACAGGTGGTTCAAAAACTCAAGACTATGTTGGAAGTAGTTTTGTGATTTACAAAAATGGAAAAGAAATACAGTACAACCAAATGAAGTTGGACAAAGATTGTGAAACTAACATCTATATGCAATTTCCAGTAAATAAATATAAAGTTGTAATGTTTTCGGCCACTATTTAAAGGCCCTCATCAGAAAATATAACTGCTTTTTGTTTTTGTTTCTTTTATCATTTGATAGAGAATACTGTTACATTTTAAAATAGCTATTCTAAATATTCAAAAATATGTTTGATATGTGTCATGATGCACAATTTAAAGCAAAAAACAAAAAAATAAGTAAATAAAAGAGAGGCTTTCAATGATTCAATTCTTTACATGGCATGATATTAAATAATAAAATTAAAAACATTAAATATTGTACAAATCTATAAAATATTTCCATGCTTACGGTACTGTAATACTGTCAGAGCTAATGCAACATCCTTTCTTCTCAGCTATATAGATTTCTAATGCCTCTAATTATTGTAAGTTGTTTCGGTCAAAGACCTTGTGTAAAAGTGTAGCTTCATCCCAGCAGGGGAGAACCTCGGGTTTGGTGGCAAAATGAGCAAGCGCTGCATTGAAATTCCCCTTGGCCAAGTTGTATTTGTGGTCATGTAATCTGGAGAAGAAAGGGTGTTGCATTAACTCTGACTGCATTACAGTACCGTAAGCATGGAAATATTTTATAGATTAACACAGAATTCAATGTTTTTAATTTTATTATTTAATATCACGCCATGTAAAGAATTGAATTGTTGAAAGCCTTTCTTTTATTTTTATGCTTTAAACTGTGCATCACGAAACTTATCAAACATATTTTTGAATATTTGGAATTGCTATTTTAAACATAATGGTATTCTCTATCAAGTGGTAGAAACAAAAAACAAAACAACAATTCTTTTATTTCCTGATGTGGGCTTTTAAATAGTGGCCAAAAACATCAGAACTTTACAGTTATTTACTGGAAATCGCATATAGATGTTAGTTTCATTTTTGAACTGTTCCAGTTTTGACATGCTGTTATTTGACAAAGATTGTAATGTTACACAAGCCAAAATTCTAGCTATTAGTAATGTAGTAAAATAATGTGAGGATAAATTCTCTAACTTTTAATATTGTAAAAATTATTGCTCTATTGTCTGAAAACAAGTTAATCCTAAACAAAGAAATACACCCAATTACTAATGAAATCAACAGGCTTCTATAAGCTTCAAACAACAACTACTCACTGAACTGGGCAACACAGAAGCTGATGAACTTGCCAAATCAGGAATACTTGGCAAAGAAATCCCTGCTAGATACTCAAAGACCCTTACTACAGGATATGCAAAAATGTGAGATCAACTCATAAAAGAATGGCAACAGGAATGGGATCAAGATCATAATGATCTAACATATTCAAGAAAACAGAAAAACTCCAATGGTTCAAACTTAACCACTACATAGTGCAGTTTCTTCTGGGCCATGGATGTTTTAATAGATATCTCCATTTGTTTGGATTCTCAGACATTAGATTTGTTTGGATTCCATCTGTGAACTTACAGATGGAAGTGAATATCCAAACAGTAGAACAAGAAAGAATGGAACTTGAAATTATCCTGCAAAAAACAAAAATTGTCTGGCCATGCACATGAAATCTTCTGTTGGAAGAAGAGGAAACATTTCAAAAGTTTAAGAAACTTATTTATAATTACTTCAATAGAACAGAAGTAAACAGAATGCTGACCCAATCCTAGGAAATCTACCTAGGACACACAAATCTGCAACAAAAATTTTCAATTAGACTTTCTTTCAACAAAAAGCAATGTCTCTTCTAACCAAACACAAACTTGTTTATCTGCACTCTTTATGCTTTAGTTAGACATTTGTAAATCATCATTGTATTGTTATTACCCAGCTGTGCCCAGTAGTACTTAGGATGTACAATTTATACCATAAATAAAAGATAGATGACTACACAAGTGGAATCTACATTCCTAATGACAATTAATGTCATGAGGTTTTTCCTGATTTTTGCCATTTATTGTATAACCATCAATTAAAATAGGAATGTAAGTTCTAAATGGTTTTGTTTCTCAAAATTATTTTGGAATGTATATTTTTCATAGTTAAATTTAATCTGTTAGTGTGATTTCTGATGTAAAAATGATGTTAGTTGTAATTAAAAGCAAAATCTTTAAACCAAATTAGGATTAAAAAAGAATAAGGAATACAAAACAAACTGTATATAATAATACATAGGGCTGTGCGGTAGATTTTCTCAGTATGATGCAAGTCTTTGAAATGGCACCCCTTAAATGCTGCCCGTATCACGGCAGCATTTGTATCACGGCACGGCTCTGCGTTTACAATAAATGCTTTAATGGAGCAATAAATCTATATATTACATTCTTCAAAAGTGAAATTGCAATATCTTGAAGGAATGCATGTAGCCACATGCAAATTGTAGGTTTGGTAGAGGTGACAGAGATATGCAAATGATTAAGTTTTTATACACATTAGATCATGTAATATCCAGTTTTGGGCTATTAAGACAAGCAGCTGGCTTTAGCTGTAAATGCTATTAGCAAACTTTGCATTCACAGCAGCCAAACTTTCAAAGCTTAGAAAATGCCTCGGAGATGACAGCAAGCTGAATACCACTAGATAATAGCTGGAGAATGAGACTATATCCTGTAGCTTCATGACTTCATGACTTCAATTTGTCAATGCTCACAGTAGCCATGTGTGACACGTTGGACACAGGAGCATCTGCAAATATGCTGAAGAGGGAGTGGATTGCACCAATGCACAACAAGAATGCACAGACTGGCAGATTTGTCAAACGGCCTGTTGGAACCTGTTTGTTACAGCACATGATATCTGAAGCTGCCTGTTGCTATCAATGGGTGCATCTGTTCTCACCTAAACCATTCAAGACAGGTTGTATGAAGTTGGGCTGCATGCAGGGCAACCAGCAATGGAGGTGCCATTAACTACTTGACACAGGATTGCATGCCTGGTGTGGTGTCATTGTCATCGCAACTGGACATGAATTGCATCATCTTGGATGTCATTCAGTGGTCTACTGAATGGCATCAATTATTGTTTACAGATAAATTCTGCTTCTGTCTGTGGCAGTATACCAAATGCTACATACCAGCTCTTTATGCCGAGCATCATTCCCATCATGCCCATTTTAGTATTTTTTTTCTTTGCTTTTAAAACTGTAAACTGTACCATATAAATTTAATATTGCTACATTAATTTTCTATAGTAAAATCACTTTTACATACATAAAATTATATTGCAAGTATCAGACTTAATTTAAAGTGATTCCACTAAAAATGGGAATATTCCAATGCAAGATTTGAGAACTATTTGATTTGTGCTAGGTATTCAAATACTTCTTTGATGACATCTTTATGAGCTAACACAACAGCAAACAAGCTATTTCAAGTTCCAAAAAACTTGAAATAACTTGGTGTGTCACTCTGCTGTCAGAAATTCTAATTGTGTTACAGTAACATAGAGACAAAGTTATTCTATAATCTGGTTTCTGAAGAAATTTTAATACTATAATTAATCATTTACTTAAGTCTCTCTGTAATTACCAACAATGTTAATCAACATGTTCTCAAATATTTAATATTAGTTAGTTACTTGCTACTCTATGTATATCAAATTAGCAATGTTGGGTTATGAATTACAGTAAGACCCTGCTTAACGGGGGGGATGCATTCCTAGATGAATGCTAAACGAAACAGCGTTAAATGGGATCATTTTAACATAGAGTAAATAGGAATAGGGAAACATGCAACCAAAAATAAACAAATTTTACTTTAATTTTAAGTTATTTTTATATTGATTTGCATAATAATGTGTGTTAAATAACACACAAACATGTGCACACAGAAATGTAAAGTTCATTTTTGTGGTATATTTGAAACCGTGTCCAGTAATTTTTAGCAATTCGAACACAAATCAATTATTGTATTTATTCAGACACAAAAGCAGCGGATGAGTTCGAACACTTTATAAAACAATGTGGTCAATTAACGAAGCAATATCATTGCGTGGGGGATGCAATTTCATTCATCCACTTCGAAACTGAATAACTCCCGCACGTTTTGTCGAAAATTTCTGAAATTTTGCGGGAGGATTGGGCATTATGGAATCGATGGCGTAAAATTTGGTGGTGAAAGGTCGAGGGGTGAGGAGATAGAAGTTGCCTGTTGTATCTCCAGTGGGGTCGAACTTAATGAAGATTTTACTTTCCTTATTACCATTTAAAATTCTTTATATATATATAAAAAACTCGTCTTTACTCTCAGAATGAAGCTTTTTTGCTGTTTTATAATAATTAATAATATAAACAGTTTTTAATAAAATTTTGTAAAGAATGCCACCAAATGCAATCTTAAGTGTTTTTGCCAGGAAAGTTAATAAAAATCCAGCAACGACTTGCCTAATAAAGAAACCAGTTAGTAATAATGCCAGATTTGATCAACTGAATAAAATTTAATGATGAGATTTGCCAAGTGTCTGAATAAATCAATAATTGATTTGTGTTCGAATTGCTTCATTTTTTGTGATGAAGGTTCTGAATTTNTTAAGCAAATGTTGGTAGCAGAAAAATCACATCCAAAATGTCTCGTCTTGCTTTTGCACTCCTTTCAAAATCTGGATCATTTGCTACACTTTGATCAACAATTTCAGTTATCATTACCAAATTTTTACTAAGGAAATCCATAGAGAAATTTTTGGGTTCATTTTCAGATTCTCTATTTTCCAGTTCTATGTGAATTCCTTGTTCTGCCAGTTCTTGAAGGTCGTCATTGGTAAGGTTCTCACCAGAAATCTGCAGTAACTCCTCAATATCCTGTTGTATCGATTAGGTTGACAATTTGGTCAACTTAATGATACAGCGATAAGCACTTCTTGTTGAGAATTCTTGGATACCTTCAGCCATAACTTTTTCCACACTTCGTTCATGTATTTATCAGTTAATTCTTGCCAAGCGAAGCCAATATTGCCTATGGCATCCACAATGTTATATTTTTTCCAAAATTGCACCAAACAATCATGGATTTAAAGAAAGTACACCTTTTTGCCATGTTTTTCTGATTGTTTGTGTTCTTAAATAATCATATTATATACAAATAATTTAAATCAGTTTAAATTCTGAGCTTTTTTATAGGCTTTGAGTAGACCACGTTATATCGAATCAGCGTTAAGCGGGTTCTTACTGTACATTCATTGCTTATTCTTGAAAACTCTGGTGTTTTATAAATTGAGTTTTCAAGAATAAGCAATGAATGTACAGTAAGACCCCGCTTAACGCTGATTCGATATAACGTGGTCTACTCAAAGCCTATAAAAAAGCTCAGAATTTAAACTGATTTAAATTATTTGTATATAATACGATTATTTAAGAACACAAACAATCAGAAAAACATGGCAAAAAGGTGTACTTTCTTTAAATCCATGATTGTTTGGTGCAATTTTGGAAAAAATATAACATCATTACTGTACATTCATTGCTTATTCTTGAAAACTCAATTTATAAAACACCAAACAAATCCTTTATAATCCAGTAAACAATTATAATTATAATTGACAAAAGTTTTTGATTTTACACAAGATCTGCTTCAGGTCAAATAGCAAATTTTTTATATTATACATTAAAGTTATTTACTGGATTATGAAAGTTTTGTTTGGTGTTCTTATCAATCCAGTTTTTGAGAAGGCAATTTTAAACTCAATTCTCGATGATTAATTACATCAAAAACTAACATTAACAATGTATTTATGTTCCCTTGTCATGTAACTTTTGTTTCTCTGAAAAGGTTCAAAATCATTCATAGAATATAGTTTGTCAGCTCTATGGAGCCCTCATAACTGGAAGCAATTTTATGATTTCTCTACAGATGGAATATTAACATTACTTAAGTAAAAAATTATTCTTCATACCCAAAATCTTGTTCCTGTGTTGGACAATTTCTAGTTTGTAGTAAAATTTAACATAAAAAAATCATTCTATTCCAAATAAATTTTCTGTTTAGGCAAGTTGTACTGTATTTCTTTTTAATTCAGAATAAACAACAGAATTAGATAGATTAATAAATGAACTAAAAACATACAATTTATTTCTAAATGAGATTAAATTTATATTATTCAAGTCAATGTTGTTTAAAAGAATTTTATGTATGTGTTTTTTTTTTTAATTAAGAATTTAGTATAAAATAATTTTGACTTTAAAAATTATGTAAATTTATTATTCAATCATTAATCTAGTTGTTTTATTGTTTACTCAAAATTAAATTAATAAAAAAGCCTTTCAAATTTTCAGACTTTTTAAAGGTAAACTTCTTTTAAAAGAAAATTTGTAAAAAAGAATCAAATATATTTTCCTTAAAAATAAAAAATATTGTTATTGATATGAGGAATGGCAATAATATAACGTTAACATAATCAAGTTTCATATTATATCAGAAATATTTCAGAATTTTGAGGAAATTAATTAAAACAGAAATAAAGGAAAGTTCTATGTAAGTTGTTAATCAAAAAAACTTTTGGAATATCTGATATAGTATTTAAAATTCCAACACAACTTAGAAATTGTGAAAATTTAAATGTTCTATGAGATATATATATCATTNACTTTCCTCTTATTAGTATAGTATTAGATTAAGTTAGATATAAGTTAATTATAAGTTAGTGATTAGACCCTATATCGTGGTAATTAAAATTTTTGTAAGATTCCGGACGAGAGTAGAGACCTGTTGTATATTCGTGTATTTGTCTCTGACGGGCATTTCTGTATACCTGTTAATCCCTGTTGTAATAAATTATTGTTTAAGTGATATTCGTTGGAACTATTTGTCTCGTACATCTTTAATTCTCACACTGGATCACTTTTTAGGCAACACCCTGTATTGTTTGCAATATAAATATAAAGTCTGCATAAGCTCTACTGATTCTTTATGAAAATAATTAGTAGAGACAATAAAATTCGCAATAGCAAATAAACCAAAAGTTTTCTGGTACAAAATTTAAAATAATCAAGGAAATTACTCTTGAAATATTATGACAATCTTTAATTAGAAATAAAACTAGTGAATATTGCTTAATTCTCACTATGGTTACTCATTCTTGTTAAACTGTCTTGATGGATTTAGACATTATGATAGCAGATAATTTAAAATGTCTTCACATGTAAAGATGTCAAAATGGATGACTTTATTAATAACTATAACATTTCATATTATATATTCAGTAATTAAACAGTTACTAGAAAAAGTAGAATTAGAAGGAAAGATTCAAAATATTGTATTACATTTCTAAGTTCAGATTTTCAGAAAAATTCTGAAGATTTGTGTAAGATTTATTCAACTATAGTCTATAGATCTTAGTCACAATTAATTTTCATAGCTATCGGTAAATTTTTCTGAAATTTAAATATTAAATCTCTTATAAGCCATCGCAATTACATTATAGAATCAATAAATTTTTAACATATATCATGTTAAAAAATATTTTTCTCTTTTTATATGTATTTAAGCAGCAATTGAAAGAATAATCTAACATAATGAATTTTATGCATATAACCTTAAATGCAAAATAATTAAAATTATATTGAATTTTAAATCAAAATACTAATTGATCTCTTAAAATATTGTAGTTAGTTTAAATTAACTTACCTAAATAATACTAGAACTGCTTGAGGAAAAGTTTGAAAATTATTGTTTCTATTAATAGGTGATTCGGGGTTTAAAGCAATTCTTCCAAAAACCTTTATTAAATAACATAATCAACATAAAACAGATATTTACAAAATCATAATTACTTGTAAATTTACAATTACTTAAAAATAGTTTCTAAGCTTACAATAGCTTACAAATTTAGTTTCTAATTGCCAATTTTCTAAATGAAATAGTTAAAGGTCTTAATATATTTAAATTTCATATTATGATTCTTTTATGGTAATAAACTAAAATTCTAAAGATGTTTGAAATAAAAATCCTTTTAATTGACAAAATGTATATTTTTAATGCTTGAAATTTTGTATTAATAACAAATTTTGCTCATATTATTGAAATAATAATAATAAGTAATGCATTGTTCTTAAAATATGATAAAAATATTTGGTAGCTAATTCTAAAACTGAATTTATTAAAAGCATTTTAAAGAGCTCATAATGTTAAACTTTAATGCGTTCGTAATACTTGATTTAATAAATATAAAGCTTTCCTCTACAATTTCATTTTTACAAATATATTAAAGTGAGACAATCGCTTATCATTTCTGAACATTTCTGTAAAATTAAATTGTCAGTTACGAAGCGTTTATTTACCTGTTATTGCCTGGAGGGACAATAAACCCAGTAGGGGAGAAGGAGAGGGTATATATTGACTTGTGGTTAAGAGAGAGACTCTCTTTTATTTTCAGTGCCATTTCAGGAAGAACACGAAGGCAACCAGTGACGATGTGACTGTGCAAGGGAAGAATTACGAGAGTTAATGGACTCTGCTCCAATCAACGAGATGACCAAGATAAGGCAACGATTATGCAACATAAACATTTGAAGAACTTCTCTCATTAGTGTCTCCTCTCACCTGTATTTTTCAATTTTCCTCTCCCATGTAAGAAAATTTGCAGATTAGACTAATACGTAATTGTCACAAAAAGACAAAACAACTGATTGTAATGGGAACTTAAAGCATTGTGTAATATTTGAATACCCTCTGATTATTGTTTGTATCACATTTGATGTTAACTTAACTTCAAGTTGAGAAATAAAAACTTACAAGAGTATTGAACTAGTCATTTGTTTTGTTTGAAATGATAAATAAAGAGCAAATGTATGGTAATATGGATAGCATAGCATAACTTCAATTTGTTTGTGTTTTGTGTATTTACATCGATAACTATATCTATATTAGCTTGACAATATGAGATTTCAAATTAGTAATAAAAAAGCTAATATAATTTCCAAATTTCATCTTACCTGCATACCAATAACAGCATATATAAAAAATAACATCACTATAAGAAGTGCGACATACGGAAGTGCCTGAAAAAAGTGTAAAAAACAATATTTTTAAAAAATTGCCCGGACAAATTTACTTTAACAGAAAAAATTATATTTCTTGAAACTATACATACAAGATGAGTTAATTTCTTTCATTCCCTTCATATGCTGTTGAGGTAATAACAATTCCAAAATTTTAAAAAACGTTTTTATTAATTTTATCTTTGTGACACTGCTAAAGGACTATTTTAACTTTTTTGCATTGTATGGCAGACGAGTAGCCTATAATAAAAGGTTGACCCCACCGTGGAATTGTTATTACCTCAATAGCATGTGAAGGGACCAAAAGAAATTGGCTCATGCTGTATGTATAGTCTCAAGAATTATAATTTTTTCTGTTAAATTACAATATTTTTAATTTTATAATATAATTAAGCATATTAATTTTCTGCAACATATAAGAAATTTTTAAAATATAATTATATAATTTAAGAACTAATTATGCTTCACTTTCATTATAAACAAACAAATGACTACATAAATATAACAGCAATCTTAATGTTTCCTGAACATTTTCATTCTGATTTATAGATCATCAAGAGTTTTGACAGAACAAGTTCAAAAAAAGAAATTTAACGATGTTCAAATTCAAACATATACTTGTTTTCTACATAAAAATTATATTGTTATTAAAAGACTAAATTTATATTTAGCCTTTTTTAACAATCAAAATTTGTTTTAATTGGACTAGTAGTTTCACATCTTATTTAGTATATAAAAAAAGAAAACACATTTACAGGGTTTTTATAAAGAATTTAGAACTAGAAAGTTAAAAAATAATTTTAAAACTTAAAATAATGCATAATTAGATTCTCTAAATAGTTATTTATTTTTAATATAAGTTAAGTACAGTAGTGCCTCGTATAATGTACTTAATCCATTCCAGGTGCACATCCATTAAATGAAAAGTCCATTATAGGAAATGCATTTTCCCATAGAAATGCATGTTAAAACATATAATTCGTTCCGCAGCATAAAATAACCGTACTGTACCATAAAAAAAATGAAAATGGAGTAGTCACCAATTATGCTGGGTAGTCAGATGTTGTGAGAAGGAGGTGGAGGAACACTTTCTTTACACATTCATACAGATACAGACTTTTTACACATTGCAGTAGGTCTCTTTTTATTGTTTTTTAATTGGAGTCAGATTCAGGAGAGGCTACCAGAGCTTGCAGAATCATCTCCTCTTGTTCCATCCTTTTTTTTTGGCAGCTTGCTTCTTGAAAAACATGTCCAACATGGTCTGTTTCTCTCTCTTCTTCAACACCTGTCGGAAATGACGGGCAAGGGTGTCATTGTAGAGATCATTGATCCTGTTGGCCTCAGTTCTGTTTGGATAATGAGTGTTGGTAAACTCCTAAACCTCTCTCCATTTGACAAGGAAGTTTTTGTCAACTTTCACTCCTTCTGATGATGTCTTGCTTTGTTTCAATTGAAATCACCTTTCTGTTTTTTTAGAAGCCATGATTTGCACAACACTTGAATAAATTAAATACCCTGCACTGAGGTGATGTATGTAATAAACAAGGGAGCAAGCCGAATCCCAACGGGAGCTCTGTACTTCAGATATAACAATAATATATTCTAATAATACTAATGTGTTATAAAAATAGCCGATTGTCATTGGCAACGGCAAAAGAGTGGAAAAATCATTCACACTTGTTCGCAGAAAGACCGTTGTTCGCCTCACATAACTGCCAAACGGAAAGTCCATTGTTCGCAGCCAGTCCATTGCTTGAGTCATGTAATGGCCAAACAGAGGTCTGTTGTTCACAGTGTCTGTTATTCGAGGCATACATTATACGAGGCACCACTGTATTTTAAGACAAAGTCCACCCAAATAGGGACCATCATTTATTAATTTCATGTTGCAGAGTGTACAATCTCAGTGACCAACCTTCCTTTCTACTAGCTGCCAAAATACTAAAAAGTCCTTTAAAAAGATATAAAAATTTTCCCAATTAAAAATATAAGGATTTTCTGAAAAAGGAACTGGTGACATAAGGATGTCTTCTGTTTTCTATCCATACTTCTTGAGGGTGCTTCAGCTTTTATCCACAAATAGGTGCTGGAAAATGTAGATTAGAGAAACCTTCCCTGGCGATGATACTTTACAATTTTAATTCTAATTTGTTAAGTATGGATCACATTCAAAAGGCATCATAAAGCCTCTGAATAAGGTTAAAAACATTACCAGATTAAAAATAGTTGGACCAATATTTAAGGTTTTGTTTTTTTAGATCAATAGTAATTTCCAATTAACTATTTCACATATTTTTAAAATTAAAAATTGTTAGGCTTTTTCAGCTTTTTCTACCAACAGACTTGTGAAAAATTTTTGGGTTAATTTGCTTACATTTGATTTTGGGTCCCCAAGAGTAGTTGGCTTTAACAATGTGATCACCCAGCCATCAAATTATTAGTTCTCATTACATTTAATTAAAATTAATATTAAAAATCAAGAAAATATAAATATAAAAGAAGTATATAAAAATATTTGAAATAAAAATGAAAAAATAATATAATAAGAAATAATACACTAACAACTTATTCTTTTATTCTTGTAAATTCATGATCTTTTCTGATCATTTTAACCAATTTTGTAATCATTGTTGAGTTAATTCTTAATGAAGTTTTTTTCAAAATGTCTAAATTTCATCTTTATTTAATGATAATTTATATTATGTAAAATAAAATATCTATTTTTGTGCTATTAACTTTTAAGAAAGAATCTTTTATTTATAAATTATTTGATTAAGACTATTAAAACAGTTACTAAAAGTGAAAAATATTTACATAAATTCTATTAAAAAAATATATTTCATATAATTTCAGAAATATCTATATTGAGAACAATGTAAACAAATATTTTAAAAATTTATAAATAAATAATCCAAATATTTCATATAAATTTACTTGAAATGATTTGATGAATGTCCATAATAATGTGCGAATGCCTTCTCCTCGACTCAAAAGTTTTATGAGACGCATCACACGAAACAGACGAAAAAAGTTGATACTAATGATATTTGTTCCTGGCTGAAATATTAAATGTTTCAGTTATTAGAATGTTTTAATTTTAACAAATGTACGAACAAAACTTTATCCTCTTTACTTACATTGACTTCAGAATAAACAATATCAATAAAGCTACCAAGAACAATGATGAAATCAAATACATTCCAAGCATCACCAAAATAATTCTGTCAAATATAAAATTATTATATATTTAAAAATTAACAATTATTAAATTTTTAATAAAGATTAAAATTGTAATCTTTAAAATTAATTATAGTAGAAGTTTGCTAATTCAGCACCTTGAATCAAATGGTATTGATTATTAAAAATGCCAGATTACTGGACATTTTTGTAATTTTGCAAAATCTGGTAAGTTATATGTACAGTTGCCTAAACATTGAAGACATTACTGTACATTTTGTACCAGAATATGCTGCTCTATGCTTTTGATTTGTTTATAAATACTCTTTAATTAGTCTGAATATTCTATAGTGTGTTAAAGTTGATTGAAAACTTGCAAAAACATTGATGAACATGTTTTTCAATATATATGTTCAAATGAGTTCTGGTTCATGTACTAATAGTAGGTTAGATTATTATTGACCAATCCTAGATTATTAACTGTTTTTCACAGAGTGCCAGATTACCAGACATTACAGATTATAGGTTCTGGATTAACAATTATTCATACAGCATAAAGTACTGTACATAATATCTTCAATAAAGAAAATTACCAAAAAAGTCAACTTTTAAATTATTTTTTTCGTAGAAATTCAAAAATGTGAAATGCATTTTAAGTGTATTAGAGAAAGGCGTGACAGATGAAGCACAGAGGTAAAAAAAAGGGGGGAGGGTAACGTCAAGGATGTCAAATATATGCACGAAGTTAGTCGACGCATTAAGATGTCGTCATCTAGGAGGAGAAAAGTAAAACCCTGTACCTAATCAAACACATTATATATCAAGTTGGCACGCGGATTTAAAAGTAATAAACGGCATCGTTTCTTCATACTTTGGACTAAACTTCCAAGTGATGCTAACGTGTTGCTGGCTCGTTAAGCCTCTTATCTCGAGTTACGATGTCACACCATCGGACACTAAGCTTAACAAGTACAATTATACATTAGAGATTAATGGTGACGTCTAATGATCGAACGAATTGCTGCATCTTTCCACCCCCCCTTCGAAAAATGGCAAATTTCGTTACAAGATGTGTCTGGTGGGAAAATCTTTTTTCCCTTCTTTTTATTTATTTATTTATTTATTTATTTCTCGACTTTCTCCGTAGAACTTGGCGTGTAATCGGAAGCACGCCGCGAAATTCGCGTGACGTCACGATTCTTCTCCCTCGCCATCTTATACTCACGATTCGGCTCCGTTGTTAAGTGAAATTTGCGAGCTGGGAGGGAGGATTTCGGACTTTTAAATTAAAAAATAAAACTAAATATATAAGAGAAAATTTGCATTTTTGTGTGTTCTTTTTTTTCGTATAATTTATAACGGTTTTATGTTAAGATGCAGCTTTCTAAGAAATTCTCTAACGATTTCCAGATGTGGAAAATAAAAATGATTGTTCCCCGGGAGGAGATATGAAATTCAAAGAGGATTGGGAATTTGAAAACGACCACAGTTGTGAATAAACGAATGAGAAAGTAACAGCACATATTTATGAATGAAGTAATGGGTGTTGCAAACCTGTGGTTTGCAACACCCATTACTTCATTCATAGTGAAAGTCAAAGTGAAAAAGTAACTATCCGTAACTAAATTCCACTTATCCTTAACTAGAATGTTTCCTCTTCACTTACAAAATTCTCCTATTCCAAGTCAGAATATAACTGTAAATGAACAGAGACATCTTCCCTGGTTATGAACAAGTAAAAATGGAGAATACTTGTAAATAGAGAAAAGAAAACAAGTATGAAAGTAAAGAAATTGGTGTTTTCTTTTATTTCGTCGAATGAACATAGCTGTAAACAAAGAGAAAATTATTCTCCAGTTAGGAAAAAAAGTAAATTTCGCTTGGATATAAATGAAGAGGGAAGACCAACCCGATTATGAGTGAATGAATAATCATCTTCTCATCTTTTAAAGTTTGGATGGATGCTAATGGAATTAAATCATCCAAGTGTAGAAATCGAAGTGAGAACAACTGATAATTTTAAGTTCACAATCATACTATACCGGAGAGAATACAGAAAATAAAAACAAGAGTATAATTTTCAAAGTGAAACTTCTGGCAAGTTCTGTAACACCATTGAAAGGCGGGCAAACCCCTCTGGTGTTTCCAAGAAAAATTTCTAACGAGCTTACGATGCGGACCACTTATTACAGGTTGGCCACCCGAGGGAACATGGTGAACCAAACCCGAAAGGAGCCTTTCGACTAACTTAACTTGGGTCCCATGCTAATTCACACACACACACAGAGAGAGAGAGAGAAATTTAATAAACTCTAAGTGGTCATTCCGACAAAGAATTAACATTAATTCATCTTTAAATTAGCGATATCTCACGCTCTGTTAAAAATTAATTTGAGTCAAAAGTCAAAATTGCAAACATTGTTAAATTCTCCGACGGAATTATATAATTCGCCTACAATTATTAATGCGCATAATAAATCATTCGAATTTTAATATCCTGACGGAATATCAAATAAATCTGAAAGAGAATTTAAACTGTCGTAAGTCCAATCATCTTGAGCATTCATTGTGATCAGAAATCAGCGCAGAACGGGAATTAATGACATTTTTAAGAGAGTAAGTACGGTTTTAAAGCCGGATACGAGCGTACATTTAAGTTAAAATATAATTTAAAGCTAGATATAAGTGTACATTTATGAATTAAGAGAGGGTACGTGGTGTACGATCGCTTGCATGAAAGTAGAAAATAAGCTTCGTCGGTACTTTATTATCCATTACAATAGCTAAATATAGATAAAATATTTAAAAAATTCGATCAATTTAGTATAAAATTGATACTATAAATTGCTATTTTAAACAAGATTTTGCACACGTTCGAATTTCAACGGAAACTCTTATCTTGTCGTTTACTGATAATCTGTAGTTTCAACAACGGAATAACTTTTAAATGATTTATTTGGAAACACGATAAAAGTATAACTTTTCAAATAAATAACAACCAAGTTGCATGGAGATGATAATGAAGCGGTTGCTGGAAAAGAAAAACGGAAATTCTTGATAACTTTTAAAAGGAATTTACGAGCAAAATTATGGTGGATAATCAAGTTAAATCATTACTTCATTTGAAACTGGGAAGAAAGATACGTGGCTGAGAGCAATTGCCATATCATTAACGTCTAACGAAACAGAAAAAGGCACGACATTAATGAAAATTATACCAGACATTAATCATGGACAAACAAAAATGTTTTCCATAAGGATATTCTTATTTAAATTTAGCATTTTTGGGGAATATCCATCGCTAGGATTCACAATTGCTAGAAGTACCACCGAATCTAGTTAAGTGCCCCCCTTCCTAGTGTTTTTAATACCTGAAACTAGCATCCCTTCAGCAAATTTTTCAAATAAACTGAAATTTCCTAATCCAAAAGACAAAAATTAGCAAATTAATCAATATTTTATTGTTTAAAACGATGCAAATGGCTTTGAAATAGGATTGAAAATTTTATTAGGAAACGTCATGGCATTAACGAAAGCGAATTGAAACTAATTATAGTTTTCATTCCTCGAGAAAATTCAATTTTCTCATTATAATACTCGATTCGCAGCTAATTATAGTCAGGATGTTAATTAATCTTAAGATACCGAAAGGCAAATTCGGTTGCGTAACAATTTAAGTGTTAAAACTAAGTGCTGTTGTGCAAGTGAGGTCGAAGCGGAAGGATCAGCCAATAAAATGACGATTCTATTGTAAAATAGAGGTAGATTACTGTATTAAACCCGACATGTATGCTAGAAAGAGAAGTTATCTGCATACAGAACTGAGAAAATGTGCATATAATCGTTGGCATGAGTAATTCAACGGCGCAAAGTGTGGAGGAAATGCCATTTTGTAAGTGCGGGCTGCATTCATACTTAGAAAAATATGCGTATAAGATACGTACAGACATACAAACGTGCACAGAATGTAGAAGATAAAAAGGCACTATTAAAATAGGCGGCAATTTTTAAAAAAGAAATAAAAGCAAGAGCATTACTAAAAGTAAAATATCGAAGTACATAAATTTTTATATTTCTCTTTAGAGCGGAATGAACTTTTTTCCATAAAATTCAGCGAATTTAATGAGAAAATCCGATATTTTCATAATGGACAATAAAATGTTATTTTTGTCGTAAAGACAATAAAAAAAAATACACAATTCAGTAACAAAAATACGTAACAACTAAACATCCGGAACGTTCATCTTTACATTTATGTGTTTTTCGTAACGATAATGTTACGTTTATATATATAAAAAAAGCCTTTATCGCCGTTATTAATTATTAAAATCGGATTTTAATTACAATGTTAATGACAAAGAACGAGCGAATAAAACGTGAAAACAAACTCTCCCCCATTCCCAATCACCTAAGGCATTAACGTGGGGGGAGTAATTCGCTAATTACTGAAATTACAATTCGTTTAATTTGTATCGAATCCGGTGAGAGGACAAAAGATGACAACATGCGGGACGTTAAACCCGCTCCTTCCCCCCCCCTACGGTNCAGCAACATGCTTGTTTGTTTTTTATATATATGTATGTGGCAACATGGCACACAGGTGATCTGTTGAGGGGGATGCCTCCTGGGGACAACTTTCTATGGAAAAACAGCTCCTATTTAGATTGTTACAAGATAATCTGGAAAATGTGTGGTCAGTCTGTTAACAAGGCACAAACCCACATGTTCAGTAGTTTTGTCCACTCAGTCACTGGTGGGCAGCAACATATGATTCATGATAATATTCTAAGTTGTTTAACATGGAAACTAGTCTTTATTATATTGCTATAGATTTTTATATATAACTGCTAATATTTTTTATTAATTAAATATAACTACAGTCGACCCCACCTATAACACTGTTGATAATTTCGTTTTATATGAATTCCATGTTGTACGAGTCACTTAGATTTTACAAATACGTGTGCCAGGCTATGAACAGCTCATGGATTTGTAAAATCTAAGTGACTCGTACAACATGAAATTCATATAAAATGGAATCGTCAACAGTGTTATGGGAGGGTCGACTGTATTCCTATTTTAAAAGAGAAGTTATGGAATCATTTATGGTTATTTTGATATCTAGAAAACACTTTTAAAGATATTGAGTTTACTACATGTGAATTTTTTTGAATTAATGATTATGTACTTAATTTACCAGATGTAACCACTGTCATTGGCGGAGGAGGAAGTCCAACCATTGGTGGTGGCGGCGGTGGTGGTGCAGCCATTGGTGCTACCACTGGTGCACACGGTGGTGGAGGTGCATCGGCAAACAATTGATGAGGTCTATCTGCATGAGAAAGTGGATTCTGAGCAGCTAGAAGACGTTCTGAAACAAAAAAATAGCTTTTCAATTTTTAATAGCAAAAATGTATAATGCTTTGTAAACTTTTAATTGACAACAGATATCATTTCACAATTTCATTTTCTGTCAGCTTTTGAGCACTATCTTCTTATATGACATTAGTGAGCATTTAGATAAGTTGAAAGACTAGATTTTTTAGAATAATTTTAAAATAAATTCAAGGAAAAAATATAATACAGTATTTAAATAAGAAATATCAAAGATATACCTGATTTTTATCAAGTTCACAGTTCTTATATTCTTGTTCACCTTCACTTTGAAAAGTAACAATCACAAAACCAACAAAAATATTCACCATAAAAAATGCAATGATGATGATATAAACAATGAAATAAATTGCAACAACTGGCTGGTAGTTGTATATAGGACCAATATTTTCAGCATGAGAATCTATTGCTACATACAGCAATCTGAAAAATATAAAATAGTTGTAATTATATTTAAAGCTAAAAGAAAAATTAGATTAACAAATAATATTTCTGTATCATTATTAATTCAATGTATTAAAATTAAATTTGATGAAACATGTATCAGTTCAAACTGAACTGATACATCTATCATCTGAACTAATATCTCTAATTTATATAGGAACAAAGATTGCATGAAAATGTTAGCAATCTTTTGAAGTAAAATCACCATATTTCATGTAACAACCTACAAAAATTTCAAAAATAAGTTTGATAGTGGGTATGGGTTTTGCAGTGATGTAGACTGTCTGTCAATTTTAACTCACAATTATAAACTCATCAAACATCTTTTCCTTTGTCTAAAATCATCAAGTGTGTCTAGAAAATGCAAAAAGTTCTTTATGTACCAGACATATTCATCTATTGCAATTTTTCCCAAAATCACCAAAAATATGTGTACTCATTCCTCACCTTGGTTCTCTCCTGTTCATTTTCTGTATGTCAATCCACACTTTAATTGTTGTTGTTATCATTAGACACTTCTACTTGGACTTATATATTAAAAGCTGATAAATATCTGTTTACTTCCCATTTCAGTTTATAATGTCCTCATTTTCAGAAAACTATTTATAAACAGACTGTTGAATTTATTGTGTTTTTTCTTTTTTTACTTTTTCCACCCTGTGAGCACTAAAAGACTGAGACTTTCACAGAAAGGCATTAAATACTTTCACAAAAAGATGTTAAATACATTTAAATAACATTATATTGCTGCTAGTGCTTTCGATGTATTATAAGGCATCATCCTCAGGCAAAGTGAAAGTTTCTTTTTTAATTTAGTAAAAAGATTGATGTGACATCGAACCTTTAAGTTTGATTAACTTACATGAAGAGACTAAGTTTTTCATGTTAAGTCACTGTTTTTGATTTATTGCTGTAACATCAAGTTTGACAATTAAGATAATTACACACATTTAAAATGATAGCCTTAGTTTGACTGTCAGTGTTTATTCTTAACTAGCTTACCCGTCGTGCATTGCTGCGATCTCAGAAGAAAGGAAATTCAAGCAAACTCGTTATGATAAAATTCAATTTACATTTTATCATTTTTATTGAAACTTATTATTATTATTCATTTTCATCGGGAAAACATTTCAAAGTGTCATTTCAATTCTATTTATTTATTGGAGTGCTTGTGGATACATGATATTTTTTGTTTTTCCGTCTGGTGCGTACACGAATAAATCAGATGGTTTTCAGACGTGTGAGCTGGCCACATACAGTTGTACATGCAAGAAGCACGGATTCTCCAAATTTAGCCTCCACACTTGCAGCGATTGTCAGAAGTGCGATATTCCCCATTTTTATATATTTTTTAAAATCCTTTATAATTTTAATTATTTAATTGCTCCTTCCTCTCTTCCTTTGCATGTTGTGAAATTTCTGATAGTTGGATAATAAACCATTTTATTGTAATTTGTCTTTTTAAATTATTTTGAGTTGATATTAAAATTTGGAAAAGGGGGATCCCTAGATCAGTAAAACAGGCGAATTTCCTCCTACAACTTCGGTTGTTGTTCGGGGTACATTTAAGGTTTTAACAAAGTTTGAGCAAATACATAATTAGCAAAAAATAGTTGAAATAAAGTGATTAAACAAAAATTATTACAAATATTGTAAATAACAGTTCACAAATGCATATATAGAGATATTTTTTGGAGAGAGAAATGGTCTTCACAATTTGAAATCCATCGATCTCACGATGAAATGCTCATATACACTCTATCGTAGGATCGCACCATCTATCGTAGGATAAATGTACTATGCCAGAAATGGAGTGCATTAAAAAACTTCCCAAAGTATAGTATGATTGCCATGAAGTGGCAATCATACTATGCCAGAAACCTTCGCGGGAGTATATTAAACAACTTCCCAAAGTTTCACGGCAATCGAATAAACGGTGTGGTAATTCATGAAGGACACACACACACACACACACACACACACACACACACACACACACACACANTGTACAGTATATTTTGTAGTTAGTATTATAAAGATTGATGTTAAACATAAAAATATATACAGAAGAATTAAAATAAATAATTGCAAACATCTGAAATTTGTGTGATGGTAAACTGCATGCTCTATTACATCTAATTTAAAACAGTTTCTGTCAAGAATAAAATAATTGGATTGGAAGGTATATTTATGAGGTGTATGTATTATTTTCACATTGTTCCAATCAGATGTAGAGCCATCAGTAACTGTTAATCTTGCTAATACAGTACTTAATCTCTGCTTTTATATTCATTTTGTGTTTGATGATACATTTAAATAGGGGTCTAGTAGTAACTCCAATGTAAAATATAGTAATCATCCATATAGAAACCTCCTTTGCTGAGAGGTATGCTATACATACTAGATTTTATACAGGTATAAATCTTTCTTCTGAATACAAAGAGAGGAGCTTAGTTTGTTAGAATAAGGAGTTTCTAATTTTGTTACCTAACAGTGAAATTTGGAATTAGTAAAGTCAGTATTAATATTTACACCTTTGATACTATGATGCGATTGTTAAGTTACTTAGTGTAAAACAATATAAGTGAGCTCTTCAATATGTGGAATAATAGCTGAATTCAGATGCAGACCATACTGAAAAGAATTTATTATTGGTAAGTCTGCTGGTGAATTAAATCTCCTAAAACTTTCATAAAACAAACAAGTTCTTGTTGATGGAAATATGTAAATCTTGGATAATTTGAGGTTGCGATTATTTCATCTCTAATTTCAAACTAACAGCGGTTTCCTTTAATGTCTTGCCCCTGTACATCATACTTTTTCTGATAACAACAGTCATGCCAAGTTATCTATGTAACTCCATTCAGAGAAAAATTTTTGAATTGAATTCACATGGCTTCCAGTCTAGATCAGAAGTTCATATATAGTTAATTGGGCCTCCTGCCCCTAAGCTTTCCATATCTGGTTTAGACTTTCAATCATCACGATATTACTGGTATAAAATTAAACAAAATAAGCAATTACCCACAAACCAGCAATTAATTCACTTTTAAACAAACGTTTGGGCTAACCCATTGATCTAATTTCATGATTAAATAAATATATACATTAAGGTTAACATCACAATGATAACATCAATTAACTTTTTTTTGTTAGCATTATGGTTTACATCTTAATACATGTTTAATCAAGGAATCGGTTCATTCAAGAAAAATCAATTGACCTTAGCATTGTAGTGTATGCCTTAACAAAAAATTATAAACTTTATTTGAACTTAATTTATAAAAAATTGAAATGTTTTTAGATTATTTTTTGCACCTGCTAAAAATTTAAAAAAATTTCTAAATTTAAATGAATTCTATCATTATTTCTGAAATTTATAAAATTATGGAATAACAATAACCTTTTTTTCTGTTTATAAAAGATAATTAATAATATTTAAAAAAAATATCCTAAATGTAAAAAAAAATTCTTACTTTGGCCATCCTTCAAAAGTAGAAACAGTAAAAAGAGTTAACATTGCTTTGGCAACATCATCAAAATTGAATTCATTATTTTCCCATTTTCTTTCTTCAATTGTTGGCTTATTTATATCTCCACCTTGATATATAATGTATTCACCTCTAAAAAGAATTATTTATGCTTTTTATATTAATTATTTTGTCAATAAATTTCAAATTTTTAAAACTGTTATCATTTATTAATTACTTTATTGAGAGTTGATCAAACTACATGTATAATAGGACAATTATCCTACATTTTCATATTTTAATATCTATTAAATTAGAAATTTTAAGCAATTTCTGATATATGAAGCATATTTTTACAGGATATATTTAAAGAATTCTATATATAAAATCATTAAAAGTATATGTTTAATCAATGATTTCAACAGTTATCATATAAGGTTGAAAAATAAACCATATTCATTGCACCAAATTGTTTTTATTGATTAGGTAATTTCTTGTTTTTATATAAATATGAATATAGAAGGTAAATAGTATATGCAAAAGTGCTAATGAATATAATAGAATTTTAATCATAATCAATCACTATGATAATAATATAACAACTATTAGGTGAGAAATTAAGTTGTATTTTTAAAAAATGAAATAAAAAGTTTGACAGCATCATGAATCAATTTTGTGATAAGAGCTGGTTCTTGAGAAATTCATAATCTATAAGGCTAAAATTTGATTCTTAGTTATGTGAATAGAACTTTATCTATTCACATAACTAAGAATCAATTAGAACTCTTATCTATTCACATAAGAATAGATAAACTTTTATCTATTCTTATTTTGAGCTAAAGATTTTTGTGGGAGTCACTTCTAAGCATGATGTCTTGAATGTTCAGATGTCTTGAAGTCTTTCTTTAGATAATGTTTTGTTTACATCTCTTTTTATGTTCAGAGTGTCATCAAATCTGACTTGCAGCATTAACAAACTTCTCACTTTACTTCTTGTGAGTAAACTTTTCAGTTGCTCACCTGGTATTATTTTAATACTTACAATAGCAAAATGTAGTATCTGTGGAGTGATGACATGCAATTATGCATACTATTTTATCTAAATTATTTAATGCACAATTTAACAGTGAGATTTAAAAGAAAAATCCTAACATTTTTGACCCAGTGAATGAGTCATCATCAGAAATGGATAGTCAAAAGACAAGTTCTAGTGTCAGAAGAAAAAATGAAGGGATGGTCACCAATAAAGTAAACAAATGAAGGAAGAGCTACGATGGCAGCAGTTGATATGACAGGAGCTATTGCCAGGAAGGGGAAGGAATCCTTGTCACTGCTGTTTATGCACAAGTTGATAACAGAGTGATTATAAATTTCAGACTTCTCTACAATGTTTGCATGAGATATATGGGAGATGGTTCAGATGATTTTGGTCACCTGCCAATCTATCTCTGTGCATAGGAAAACAAAATTATAGCATTCCCTACTCTTTTAATGTCATATTTATGCTTGATGAGCCTTTGATTGAGGAATCAGGAAGTTATCTAACACATTCCATATTAATGTTTGTATCTTCATTTATGGTTGGAATGATGTACTGTAAACTCCACTGCTCTATTTGTCATCTATGAGGTCTTTATCATTCCACAAGAAGTGGTATAAAGAGGCTGTGATTTTTAATTGTGAAGTTCCCTATAAAATTACAGAGAGATAATTTCAATTCAATAATTCACTTAAAATGAGACCTGTAGCTAATAATAAATTGGCTTTGTTTCAAACTAAAAAATTATTACATTACAGAATAATATTGTAAGTTGATAAATGAAATATTGTATACAAAATGTCATGTAAAAAATTCAGATGTAATGTCAAATGTAAGAAACTTTAAAAAATACTTCTCACCATTAATTAATTCTTTAGTAAACTGTATTATATAAACTGATTAAAAAAGACAAAAGTCAAATATAAATTTATTTTGTAAATTCTCATATAAAACTTTGTAAAAATTAAAGACAAATTTAGTTTTTTATGTGTTTTTTGAACAGTTTCGTCCAAAAAACACATAAAAAACCAAATTTGTCATTTTGTCTTTTTTAATCAGTTTACATAAAATAACCAAGAAAAATGAACACAATTATAATTTTAATTTCAAATAAATTAAAATAAACATAAGAATTTGGATGATAAATAATGCCATTTGATCCAAAGAAATCATATATGTTATCACAATTAACAAAGATACATTGTCTAGTATATATTATCATAATGACAGATAAATGAATTTTGACTCACTAATATTGAAAACATTTTAAATGTAACTCCACTAACTTTAAACATTTGAGCATTAAGTGTCTTTTTTATGATATCAAAGTGAATGATTAACACATATACCAGATTATCTCATTGACAAATTAAAAACATTTATTTATATTTCAAACAAATTTGTACCCATTGACTTCATGAATATTGTAGTTTGTCTTATATCAAAACTTTTGAATCATAAAGATCTTCTAACAAAAGAAATATTAAATTTTTGTTAAAGAGAATTGTTGTTTTACATTACAAAAATCTATAAAATTTGTTTTTTATAAGTTTACACTGAAATTAATACCAAGTATAAAGCAATAATAATATTAAAATCAGTATCAAACATAATTTTCTAAAACAGATTAAAATAACTTACTTGCAAGTCTTCTCAACCATTTTGGTGCTATCTGTACATCTGAAGAACTTTCCCTATAAAATAAATAATAATGTTTAATTTATAGATGTTTGAGAATGTTCAAATATTCATTACAGAAAAACACCAAATAAACTTGTTATAACATAGCAATAATGATATGTAAATTCAAATTAAATGTAAAAATATGAACTAACTTTAATGAGTACTTTCATTTTATTTCATTTTAACATCTTCAGATTGAATACATAACAATGGAACATTGAAATTGAAGATTTTAAAAAACATTTAACATTGTATTTAAATTTTTTTTAAAATATAAACATTTATACATTTGAAAAACTAAAAAATCTAACTTTTTTTATCAATTGATTTAGATCACTAATTCCAAATACTATACACTTTTAAAGTTGGTGTGTTACAAACTTATTTCATTTTAATTAATATAGTTTCTGCTAAAAATAATGTGTTTGTATCACTAGAAAAATATAATACAGTAGACTCCCATATAACATGATGCTCATGCAGTTCCCACTGAAGCATTTATGTCGCCCCAGACAAAAAAACCAAATTGCCATCCCTTAAATTTATTTAGAGAGAAACATGTAATATAAAATTAACAATCAAATAGTACAAAACAGTAAAAATTAAAATATACCTGTACCTAGTTACAAATTGTTAACTAGATGCATTTTTAATGATTTTACAAAGATGTGTTATTGTACAAACAAAAAACTTGTATCATATAAAAACTAAACAAAAGTACATCAACTATACTAAAATCAAAAGAAACTTTTTTCTCATGTTTAGTTCTGTAAACTCTTTTAAGTTTACTTGATATGCAGATTCATGCACAATCGCCAAAATGGCCAAAGTATTAAGATGATTTGCATGGTAGTGGAAGGTAAAAAGTTTTTAATTAATTTTTATTTAGAAAAATTGCTTTCCCCCACTAGCTACAGTTATTGGTATGATCGGCAGTATTCTTAAGGTGACACTAAGGTTTGGGACAAAATTTAACATTGTTGTTTATGCTTTCCTTTTTGCCAAAAGCCCTCTTTTAAGATTGTTTTCTTCAGAATTACGGAATGCAAATATTTTCTTAGCTTTTAGGCAAAAATAATAAATATGAAATGTAAATTGCATGGTAATTTTAGCCACAGAAAAAATCGACAAATATAAATTTCGATTAATTAAGTATTTAACTTATAAATATTTTGTCACATTCACAACCAAAATGCCGCCCTTTAGATTTGCCACCCAGGACAGATATCCGGGTTGTCCACTCCTAGAGCGGGCTCTGGCTCGTGTTATTTTCACACAATGTTCTTTCTCTGAAAGAAAATATTGGTTCATTTGACATTAAAGTTATATATGCACGACTGGTAAAATGTAAGTATACATGAATAAGTGGGATTTTCTTGCACACATGTTGCTAAGTTAGAGATTTACAGTCTTATTTATTATCTCTTGTATGAATATCATCAAGAAAATTTTTTTCTAATAAAAACTGAATAATACTAAGCATTTTTTGTATTAAAACATTTGTAAATACACCTCTATATTCATACATCTGTTTCACTCAATAGTGCATTGTAATGTATACTACACATAACCAACCCAATCAACCGTACGTCACAGTATCAGTGTCCTTATATAAAATAAAGTACGTTTAGTTTGCTAAATATGTAAAATTTGTGAATAGCATTCTTTAGTTTTTTAACTTATATTATAATTAAAAAGACAAAATTGAAATATATATATTTTAAAAATTCTTGCTTAAATCATGTTAATTAAGCTTAATGTTAATGTTAATTTTTTGTTAGTACAGTTACTTGATGTAAACAATGAAAATAAAATAAAACTTTTAAAACAGTAGAAAATGTTTCTGATTGCAAAAATAATCATCATCAGGCTAAATTGTAAGCTTCATTTCAGTTCAGTTACTGATATAGAATAAAATTTATAATGCAATTAATGCCTGTTTCTGCAACTAAAAATGTTTGCTAATATTAAACTTTTTTTGCTAGTTTTAAAGGTTTTGTATTTATTTTAGCTTGAAGTTTTGCATATATAACAGCAACAAATTTTATAATATATTTGAAACAAAACAAAAAAGTTTTTGTTCAGTTTTCTGCAATGAATAAAATTAAATTCTAAATTTATTTGTAATTATCATTTTATTAAAACTTTTTACCTTGTATCTATCTCTTATCATCTTTTGAGGAATTACATTGCTTTATTCCAAAAAAAATTCAGTGTTATAATGTAAATGGCTTAACAAAAATGTAATGCCAAGTTTATGTTAATTTTTAATACAAAATTTAACCCTAAATCATAGTTTAAGTTTCTCATTAGCTAATTTTTTTTTGGATTAATTTTAAAATGATCATAGAAAAACCAACAGATTAAATATCAAGAAATTTCTCATAGTGACTTTAGATACCAGGTTTTTAATATACATTTAATAAAACTAGGTTATCCTGATGTGCATATATAGTAATC